CTCTTCATTGTGGGGAAGAGGGACATGATGGAAGGAGCACTCTGGGAGGGCCTAGCTTGCTGGGTGGTTGATGACCTGGTGGTCCTGACATGAGCACTCACCAAGACAGAGTGAAAAGGTTATTCTTCAAGTGCCTCTTAATTTGTGCCAAAGTGAATCCATGACCCTCCTGCTGTCATCTTTGTTCCTCCTTGGTGGAGGTCTGTGAAGACATGGTGAACCTGTGTCTGGAGTGAAAAAAGTCCTGAAGGATTACGAATCAAAAGGGACAGACTGACACGGGGCTGAGGCTTTTCACCTGGCTGCTGGGCACTATCTTCAAAGAGCTCCACCCAGGAGACCAGACAGGAGCTAACAGTGGGGTCCTGTATTCCAACTCCCTGCAGGAGGGGCAGGAACCACCCGCCACCAACAGAGTCCAGCACTGGTCGAGGGTGAGTGCAGGCAAGAGGAAGACTCCACACCCAGACCCTGAACAAGCCAAAGAGGACCCAGGCTCCAAACCACCTTGCTACTCTCCTGGGCTTCCTCCTAGAACCCGGATTGAAAATTATCTGGGTCCAATCTCCTCCACCAACCTGCCCTCATCGATAGCCTCTGATTTTGCTAGATTTAAAGTCATATCCACATAATTATAGGAAATCACAAAAAGACTTTCATATGATTTCACGTCACATCAAGAATGATTTTGCATTTTTCTTTTTTTTTAAAGATTTATTTATTTTTATACAAGAGCTGGGGTACAGGCCAGAGACGCAGGAGGGTGAGAGGATTCACCAGAGACAGAGTGGGGAGCAGAACAGGCAGAAGGACGGAAACACACTGCTGAGGGGAGCAGAGGGAGAGTCAGGAGAGGTCTGCCACGCCATGTGGGAATCTCCCTGGCCAGCCAGGAATTGAACTGTGCTGCAGAGGCTGCAGACAACTTCACAGCACTGCGCTCAACCTGCTATGCCACTGGGGAGGCCCCTGATTTTGCATTTTTCTATAGATATTTTGGTTTTAACTTTGTCCTCAGTTGTCTATGTTGGCCTGACCGTTCCTCCACATTTTCTCCATCTTATACATCATCATGATAGGAAGGGAAATCTCTATTCAAATGATGTCAGTTTCCTAGCATATTATGTCCATTTTCTCTACAAATCTCTGCTTCAAGGAGCACAGGCCCATGGCCCTTCCACATCAGGAATTGGTGTCACTGGGCTGCACAACATCCCAGTGGGGAGACCAGGTAGCAAGCGATTCAGTCATTCACTGATGTGGGACCTTGATGTGAGTCCTTTCTGGAGATTTTGACACAACTGCTCTGAGTAGGCTACATGTCCTGATATCCTGATCCCTTGCATCCCAGGAGAAGCCTGTAACTGAGGTTAAATGGTCAAAATAGTCTCAGAGCTAAGAGCACAAAAGACAGAGATCCAAAAGACTAATTCAAATTTCTCTCTGAGGCTTGCTTTTACAGACACAGTGGAGCTTAGAGACTTATCAACCAACCTGATTGAGCACCACAGCCAGCTGGAGTTGGTGAAGGTCCCACCCACAGAAATTCAAAACTCTAGTGACCTGAAGAAAAGCCTCTTCATACTTCATGTATGAAGTGCCCTGGGACTAGCCAGTGAACTCAGCCAGGTCCACATTTCTGTGCCCCCAACCCACTTCTCAGCCAATAAAATTCACCTTCTTTGTTCTCAACACTGGTCCCCCAAACCTACAAGACCTCATTTCTTTTCTTAATTGGGGGGGGGGTATATTTGGGTTTATCTTTTACCTCTTGCCAATTGGTTTGGAATAGAGCTTTTTTTCCCTTTCCTCAAACCCAGTTGTCATAAGCTGGTCTGTGCATGTTGGGTAACAAGTCTGTGTGTTCTCAGGTCTGGAATGGAGTGTTTTACCAGAAACCACAGGCAAGATGCAGTTAATACAGGCAAGTTCTGTCACTGCTCAGCTCACAACCTTACTTGAGTCACTAACCGGGTGAATCAAACCCACCTCCAATTCTGCATAGAAGACCAAGAACCTCTTTTTTTTTTTTTTGTGGGACCTTGTCTCACAGCCCAGCGCTCAACCGCTGCGCCACCAGGGGAGGCCCAAGGCCAAGAACCTCTTATCTGCTGAGAGAACTGTTCTCCGCTCCTTGCCATTGGCTGCCTATGGTTGGGGAGTTTTGTCTAAGTTTAGCCCCCAACCTTGCCGGTGTCCTTGGTGCTGCTTGTCCCTCCTCTGTTCCACCCCCAGAGGAAAATGCCTCAACAGTGAACATGAAAAAGACCTGCAGGGTGAAGACTGGGCAGTGTGATATAGAAGACTGCCTGAGGCTCATATTTATAGAAAGAGACTTCTCCACCGGCATTTCCTGTACACCTACAGAGCTTCTGCCACCAACTGGCAGGCACTGGACCTGCTGTTCAAAAAGTGAGCACCTGCCTCTTGGTGTCACAGCAGTCACTTGCACACCCACTAGCTGTGAGACTTGGGAAATCAAGACACCTTTCCAGCCTCAGGTTCTTCCTCTCAGCAATAGAGGACCATCCTCATAGGGTTATTGTAGGGATAATATTGAGCAGCTTTTTTTTTTAAATCACTGTAAGTGAATCACTAATGATGCACAGTGATGTTTTTCTTCTGATCTTAGAATCTTAGCTGCTGCCCAATATTGTACTTTACATGTTCCAAGAAATCTACTAACTTTGTTATAGGACAGGGAGAGGGGCCAGCCCAAACTCTGCAAACCTGCCTATTCTAAATGGGTTCTGCCATCCGCCGCATCAACACAAAACATAGGAGACTTTAATGAAAAGGAACTTTAATAAAACTAGGAAACAATACAGGTAAGGCAAAGAATCTAGTTTCTAAATGAAGCACCCAAAGTTACCCGTCCCCTCGTGGGTAAAAGTCCATCCAAATGGGATTGGCCCAGAACAAGGCCCCAAAGCCTGCTACAAGTCTAAAGCATCTTCCAGTGGGGACCCACAGAAAAGGGTCACAAACAACTGGACAAGCCCGGAAGGAAAAGAGCAAATCAACATCAAGATAAAAGCTGCCATTGTCACCTCCCCATGGATCTCACCCACATCTGTGTCACCCCGTCCACGACCAAAAGACAAGCGCAGTTTCTTCACATGTCTCTAGGATCCACGCGCCTCCTCCAGGTCTCCTGGCTCCATCCTGCTTCCTTCCTCAGTCCCTTCTGCAGCTTCTTCTCTTCCTGCTCAGCTCCACCCTCCCTTGGGTGGGGCAGGGAACCTCCCCCTTTCCTGGGGACCACCCTGTTACAACTTGACATTATCTCCAATGATTCCCACTTTCCTAGCCCTCTGACTAAGCCATTACCACCTCTATCTCGCAGATGAGAAACTTGAAAATAAAAACCACTGGCCAGGAAATGGTTCTCTGTCTCCATCCCTGCCAATTCTTCTGCTTTCTTTCCCTCCCCAGGGCCAAGAGAAGATCACTAGACAAGACTTGAGTGATGCAGTTGAAAGGGTCTGCTTAGTGTCACTCCTGGGTGTTCTCAGATTAAGTGGCGATTTCCTCTCTCACTTCATCTTCTAGGTCTCCACTGATGTGTCTATTTTCTTCTATTAACCTGAGAGGTCCCTGAAGGCTTGGTTGTCCCTAAGGCCTTCTGTATTGCTAGATGTTAGCACCAAGTAGGTGTTCCCTGAAGCTGGTAGGAGAATAGGATGAGACGAACAGGAGGGGCAGGACCACAGACATGGAGCATGGAACACACAGCTTCACCTCAATGGCAACCTGCCCTCTTTAGATTCAGGTTCCTAGCTGGTGCAGGCCCAGAACCACCTTGCTGACACTCCCAGGGTAACTTTGCCTTGTGTACTCTCATTGATTTCTTGGGGTGTGCCCTGGTGCGCAGAGAGCAAAGGAGAAAGCAAGATCTTTGGGATTAAGCAAGAGAGCTCAAAGTCACAGAGTACTGACTTAGCCATCAATTATTCGCATTCTCTTAGCTTCACTTTGCTCTCTACAAACTGGTTGTGCTGCCTAAGTCAGGATGTCAGAGCCGGGCCCCTAGAGCTGTGGCCGCTTTCCTAGTAATGGAGAAAGGCCATGGACTATCAAGCTGGGTCATTTTGTCGCCGCCCTAGCAAGAGATGGAATTACAGCACAAAAGCAGCCCAGAAATGTCCAGCTCTGTCTTCTTTAAGGATGTGCAAGTTAACCAGGCAGAGGACAACCGACCCGCTGATGTTCCATCAGGTGAGCTGGGGCACCTGGTGCCTGAAGTTTTGGGAGGGAATGCGCGCTGTGACTCCCGGGAAGACTCGGACTAAATGTGTTGCTGCTGGCTTCTGCCTCCTACCAAGAAGGGTGGTAGGCCGCTGTTTCCACTGTCTCAGGACGGGATTCCGAAAGGCACGGCACCCACCGCTTGGAGCCCAGACTCCCCGCTTGCAGTGAAGCAGACGTCCCGGCCCGCGCATGCGGGTAAGGGGGTGGGGTGGGTGGTATTGGGGGAGTGGTAGGGGGGGTGGGCGGGACGCTCCTGGGGCGGGGCTTAGACGAAGGGGCGGGACTCCGGGTGAACGCACCACTCAGACGCCGCTGGCGCTCACGCTCAGCCAATCATGAATCTTCCCATCTGGCCTCCCAAAGCCGTCTCTCCGCGGACCTTTCTTTTGCGTCTCTGGTTTCCCGTCGGCTTGTTGAAGCTACGGAAGGGCGCATTTCCGTTTCCGGCGGCGTCCACGCGGGCCTGAGGATTAGCAGTTGTGAACCCGGTAACGGCCACTGAGTGGGGCAGGCGGCCGCGGTGGGGGTCTCGCGGGCTGGGGCTCTGGGAGCATTGCGAGTCGCGCGCGTGGTAATATCTCTCCCCGGAATGTCTTCCGGAATGTCTGTGCTCCCGAGGAGCACTTCCCGTGCTGGGCTGACTGCTCGTAGTCGCAGGGGAATTGTTCCGAGGTCGTTGAGGGACTGGCTGAATGAATTCTTGCCGAGAGCCTGGGCCGTGGGGGGGGGGGGGGGGGAGATGGCTGGGAATGGTGCTTTCATGGCAGGGTAGTTCTGCCGGGTGACTTAGACCTGAGCCAGATCTGATGACTCCAAATTTGGGCTCCTCCGCCCGTTGCAGTACACGTTTGGAACCGAAATGTAGTAGTGAAGAGAAATAATGACTGTGAAAATTAAACAGCTGTTTAATTTGAAAGCATTCCTGGAACCCAGCTCTCCTAAGTTCCTGCACTGTTCATTGACATTACGCTGGTGTGTACAGACTTCCGTTGGTGTTTGTCACGTATACATCATGGGAAATCTCAAGATTGATCAACCTTTTGATTGGCACGGAAATTGTTCGTTTGGATTCCCGTCCCTAGTTAGATTATAGTCATAGCCATCTACAGTCATAATGTCTAGCACATCATAGATAAAATTATGGGGCAGATATTCAGTACCATAATTGATTTGAATGACACCCTGACCCTTGTTTCCTGATTTCCTAAAAAGAAAAAACAAACACCCCTCCCCCCCAACTGTTCCTGTTCCACTGTTCTCCAATTTACTGTCCAAGAATTCCTGGGACTCTCAGAAATTATTGTAAGGGTTCCTGCAAATCCACATCTCCAGATGTCACCCAGAATCTATCCGATCTCACGTGAATAGATGTTACTGCTTTTTAAAAGTGTGCAGGTGATTATTAGAATTTTCTAGTTTTATAGAAAACATACTAAAATTGATACTGATGTGCTATTGAAGGGTTATTAATATGCTTTTATTTTTAAAATGTAAAAATAGTTTAAGTTAGAGAACCACTTCATTAATCCATTTTATTTTTTAAGCTTGAACTGTTTAGTATGGTAACCACTAATAACATATGGCTATTTAAATTTAGAATTGAATTAATTAAAATTGGAATTTAAAATTGGATTTCTCAGATTCTCTAGGTACATTTTTAGTCCACCGTAGCCACTTGTGGCTAATAGTTTTGGCAATGAAAGGTATAGTTGTAGACTATTGCATTATTACAGCAGCAAAGTGAAATTGGGAATAATATTAAGAAGTTTCTATCCCAGTTAGTTGAACAAATATATATTTCTTCATAAAGAAATGAATGAAATTTACAGCTTTTCCTGAGGTGTTGACTAGATTATAAAATGCTTACCCCACCTCCACCCTCTTCAATGTAGGTTAAAGTTGGTGAATTGGTTAAAAAGACACTATGGAGACTAAGGACCAGAAGAAACATAGAAAGAAAAACAGTGGACCCAAAGCTGAGAAGAAAAAGAAACGGCACTTGCAGAATCTCCAACTTGGAGATGAAGAAGATGCCCGGAAAAGGAACCCCAAAGCTTTTGCAGTCCAGTCTGCTGTGCGGATGGCTCGATCCTTTCACAGGTATGTTTACCTGGAGTCTAGTGGTTCTTCCACTGGAAAGTTTGTTCTTTTTAAACAATGGGAACCTCTCCAGATGATGTTTAGAATCACGAGTCTAGTCCAAATTTAAAGGGCATGGAAACGAGTGCCATATTTCTTTTACTAAATCATGAGAGTCTTGCCTGTGGAAAGTGCCTTGCCTCCAAGATCTGCACAGTGACTGACATTTTTGCCCAGGAGAAAAGCTTAAATAGTTTTTTTTTTTAAAGATTTATTTATGCATACAGGAACAGGGGTACAAGCCATAGGTGCAGGGGGAGCAGGGGAGGAGAGGATTCACCAGAAACAGCAGAGCGGGTAACAGAGCCTGCAGATTGACAGAAATACACACAGCGGGCGAGACAGGCGAGGTCTGCTGTGCCATATGGGTGGCTCCATGGCCAGCTGGGGATCCAACTCGTGCTGCAGAGGCTGGAGATAGCTTTACAATGCTGTGTTTAACTGCTTGCGCCACCAGGAAGGCCCTTAAATAGTTTTTCTTTATCAAATACATTCATAGCCTTTAAATAATTTCTGTGGTAGTAGGCATACTTGTGTGTTTTTTTTTTTTTTTCCTGGATATGTTTCATGTAATTGTAATATGTAGTGTTAAGTGGTTTTATTTAATGAGCCCTTAGTATGTGGCAAGCTGTGTGCTTTAAAACATGATTGAATTAAATTTTCCCAGAAGGTATGTCAAATTTAACCCCCAAACCTCTGCTCTTATATACTATGATACATTGCCTCTGTGTTTGCCTGACAGTCAGCTAAGAAAACAATCAGAAAATGTATGTATCGTTTTTACCACTCTATACTGTTGAAGTTAATCTATTAGATATCTATTGAATTGCAGTTATTGGATTGAGACCAAGTTAACAAGTTCATTTTATTCCATAACATTGTATATTCTGCTCTCTTTAAAATCTTTACTTGTGAGGATAATGCATTTTATTTTTTGAAAATGAATTTTTTTAACTATTTAGGACTCAGGATTTGAAGACAAAAAAGCATCATATTCCAGTGGTTGATCGAATGCCACTAGAGCCCCCACCGATAGTGGTGGTGGTTATGGGACCTCCAAAAGTTGGAAAAAGTACTTTGATCCAGTGTCTTATTCGGAACTTCACCAGGCAGAAGCTGACGGAAATCAGAGGCCCTGTAACGATCGTGTCAGGTAGGAGGGTGGTATTGCAAATGACATAGCAGATGTTGTCTTTTCGGGCACATGCATGTCTTTATTGAACATTTTTTTTCCTGATAAATGTTAAAGTAACATTGCCACTTCATATTACTTCTTCTGTGTTTTTCCTGAGTTGACTGTAGCTTCAGAAAAGGATAGATTCCCAGGGGTGATAATGATGTGGATTTGTATCTTATTCTGAATCCTCTATGGATTTGCAAAGTATGCTCCTCTGCAGGGGTTGGCTGGCCTGGGAGGCCAAATTGGTCATGGTGAGCACCTTCATTTAACAGATAGTATCTGCTATGCACCAGGCATACCTGCTTACCCTTATGAAGCCACATTCTTTTGGACATGAAGGAGCTTGTCTCTTTTCCTGTGAGAACTTGTCTGCTCTGGGAAATGGTGAACTTTGTGGGTTTCAGGGAAGATGAAGAAAATTCCCAAAGTGGCAGTGGTAGAATCTGAAATCTCTTACTGCAGTCATATAGTTGGATTGAGACTGTTCTTTATCTTAAAGACATTTCTATCAACTGACTGATTTCTTTAACCTTAATTTATTATTATTCCATGAGCATTGTGTTATATTTGGTTTGAGAATGTTTTTACGTAGAGTAGAACACAGGACACTTTAAGTGAAGCATTGGCCCCTCTGCTGAACAACAGGATCATCTTCGACATGAAGCCTGTTTATCTGCCTAATTCAGTCAGAATTCTATGTTTAAGCACTTTATTCATATGGGTAAACTTTTCAATCATTTTAAAATTAGAAAATATAATAAGAAAAGTAAGATGGGGCCTCCCTGGTGGTTCAGTGGGTTGAGTGCAGTGCTGTGAAGCTCTCCGCAGCCTCTGCAGCACAGGTTCGATTCCCAGGCTGGGAAGAAACCCACATGGTTTGGCAGACCTCTCCTGTCTCGCCCACTGCTCCCCTCAGTAGTGTCTTCGGTCCGTCTACCTGTTCTGCTTCCCGCTCTGGTGAATCCTCTCATCCTCCTGCACATCTGACCTGTACTCCGGTTCTTGTATAAATAAATAAATCTTTAAAAAAAAAGAAAAGAAAAGTAAGATGGAATATACTTTATCTGTTTTCTCCTATAAAAATGAACTTCTGAAATACTCATCTAAGTGTGTATGCTGCTTTTGATAATGCAATTAAGAATTATTAGTAGAATTAATAAACTTTTACGAGATTTTTTTTAGAAGTAAAATTTCCATCTATTCTCTTACAGGCAAAAAGCGCAGACTCACCTTTATTGAATGTGGATGTGACATTAACATGATGATTGATCTAGCTAAAGTAGCAGATTTGGTAAGTCAGTGGGAGAGAGTAGGTTTTTGATGAGTACTTAGAACAGTGTGATAGGTCATTTATCCCATGTTGAAGGGAAGAGAGGTTTCTGATGTTTAAAAGAAAGGTGAGTACCATTTCTTGGACCCTTGTTAGAAAGCGCTGTGCTAAAAGCTTTCTACAAATTTAGCTTATCCAATCCCACAGTTCGCCTTAGAGGTAAATAGTTGTTCTCTCCAGTTCAAAATTATGAAGTTGAGGTTCCAGGGGTTAAGTAATTTGTCTGAGGATGGGAAGGTCTCATCCTTCCTCTTAATGGTGTCAGAATCTCCATTCTTAATGCTAAAGTAAGTTCATGAATTGCTCTTGAGATGTTGCTCTTGATGATGGAGATAGTATTTAGCATATGGAAATAGTGCAGTTTCTTTTTTTTCAAGATTTATTTATTTATGCATACAAGAGCTGGGGTACAGAACAAAGGCGTGGGTTGTGAGAGGATTCACCAGAGACAGAGTGGGAAACAGAACAGGCAGATTGACCAAAGTACGCTGCTGAGGGGAGCAGGGGGGTGAGTCAGGAGAGGTCTGCTTCACCATGTGGGTTGCTCCCTGGCCGGCTGGGGCCGGGATCAAACTCATGTTGCAGAAGCTGTGGAGGCTGTACATGGTGTCCCATAGTGTGTGTCATGATTAATTTAACCTGGACTATATTGATTGCTGTACATTAGGTTGTGATTAAGCCTCCTAAATCGTGGCAAAGGCACACACATGTGTGCATGCACATGTATGTGAATTGGAGGAGTAATACAGGATTCAGTTATTTTTAGTTGAGAAAGATTGTCAGCTAAGGAATTGTCACCTAGTTTTCTGATCCTGTAAGCATGTCTTGCATCTTGGCGCTCCTGGTATCTGGTAGGGTGTAGAGATAATTCCACAGTCAGCCCTTCCCCTTTGACCTGTTCTAATCTGTCCAGAGAACTCTGAATGCCAGCGTGGCCTATGATGTGCCTGCGGCCTCTCCGCTTTCTTCCCGTGCTCAGTGGTCACCTTCATGTATTTTGTGTGTTAGGATTATGAATGTTCTCTTCTTTAATAAAAAGTTTTTCTGTTTCCAGTTTTATTTTTAATTTGCTACAGAAAGGAAAGAACAGATGTCTTGAATATCTTAAAAGTCTCAAATAACTCAAATTATTTTACATGTTGGAGAGTCATAAATTTTAAGAAATTGGTATTATCTACTTATGTTTTCATGTCAATTACTGTTTATAACTATACTCTCCTTTGACTCAATTCTAAACTTTTTTTTTTTTTGGCATGTTAAAATTATTTCTTAGCAAAGATATTTTTTCTTTATGAAAAAGTTAAACAAAAATTTTGGTTTTTTTTTACATTTTGGTATTTTGTATTGGTTCCACTTATCCCTTTTTTTGCATGTCAGAGAACTGTTGTGTGATTTGCTTGTTAGAGACCTGCTGTTTTGCTTAAAAATGCCATACAACAAAACATTATTTCATGAAGTAAGGACTTTTCAAGTGAGAGCGAAATTAGACCCAATCTTTTCAGAGTTATTTCTTATATATCCAAATTCTTGAAATAGAAGTGTGTTGTGGTAGATATTGTCCTGGTTGGTGTTTTCTCCCTGCGGTGATTCCTAAGTGATCACTTAGTTTAGAATAAGGGTTGACTGGGCCCGATAGTCAATATTTTAGGTTTTGCATGTCATACTTTTTGTTTTAACTGCTTTGCAATTGTAGCCCCAAAGCCTCTGTAAATAGTGTGTAAATGAACTTATGTGTTTATGGTCCAGTGTAACTTCAGTTACAAGACAGGTGATAGATGGGATTTGGTTTCTGGGCTACAGTTTGCTGATAGTCTGTTTTGGATAGCTTTCTTGAAAGATTGTGTCTTCTCTTTTTTAGGTTCTGATGCTCATAGACGCCAGTTTTGGGTTTGAAATGGAAACATTTGAATTTCTGAACATCTGCCAAGTACATGGTTTTCCGAAAATTATGGGTGTTCTTACTCATCTTGATTCCTTCAAGTATAGTAAACAACTGAAGAAGACAAAGAAACGATTAAAACATAGGTTCTGGACAGAAGTCTACCCGGTAGGAAGAGACTTAATTATTGAATAGTGTCGCTATAATCCTTTAACAATAGAGTGAATATGAGAGATTAATAAAAATCTTTACAGGACTTACCTTCTGAGTTCCCTTTATCTATTGTTCATAGTCCTTGAAACATATCCACCAAAACCAGGCAGTGTCAAATTTAACTGCTCTAGATTTTAGAGTAAATAGGATACGTCTGAAGTTTATCCTACTTACAGGATCAGAAATAGTAGTGCACTAATACTGTCACTCCTGCCCTCCATATTGCTTTGGCCCATCTGTCACAGAATTTTTTTCTGTGCTTAGGAACATCACTGCCCTCTTCATGCAATACTCTGGACAAATGTCATTGCTTGTATGACAAGCAACTTGAAACTAAATGTTTTAGCAATTTGCCCGTGAAGCCCTAAAAGATCAGTATTTAAAGAAGATGGAAATTCTGAAGCATTGGCACTGTGGTTTGCTAGGGGTCTCCCTATCTTAGCATTGTTTCTTATTTATTTATTTAAAGATTTATTTTATTTATACAAGAGCTGGGGTACAGGCCAGATGCGAGGGAGGGTGGGAGGATTCACCAGAGACAGTGGGAAACAGAACAGGCAGACTGTCGAAACACACTGCTAAGGAGGGCAGCAGGTGTGACAGGAGAGGTCTGCTGTGCCTTGTGGGATTCTCGCTGGCCAGCCGGGATCGAACCCACGCTGCAGAGGCTGGGAACAGCTTCACTGTCAGCGCTCAACCGCCTGTGCCACCAGGGAGGCCTGGATTATTTCTTATTTAGAGACCTTTATTTTGGTGCAGTATTGATAAGGTTTAATTGAAATTTATTTTATTTTATTTTCACTGTTCAGGGTGCCAAGCTGTTCTACCTTTCTGGAATGGTACATGGAGAATATCAAAACCAAGAAATTCACAATCTGGGCCGTTTTATTACCGTTATGAAATTTAGGCCTCTCACATGGCAAACCTCTCACCCATATATCCTGGCAGACAGGTAAAAAGTGAATGTAGACTGTTTTTCCAGGCTCGTGTATTTTGAAAAAAGGTTAGGAAAAAATAATGAGTTTATTTTGTGTCTACTATGAATGGTTGGGGAGAAATAGTTTTTTTTTAACATTAAAGATGTGGCTTTGGGAGTAATTAGGTTACGAAAGTATGAGAATTTTGAAGCATTTAAGGCTATAGGATGTGGTCACATCCGGCTTTTTCACTTTAATTTTCAGTGATGCTGTGTTAGGACAGTGGTGCTCCCATCACTCAGATGTGCCTGTGCTTTCCTTCCTTTCTGCTATTTTAATATTTTCTCAGCCTGGAATAATACCCTTTATCCATTTGCCAGAACCCAAACCATATTTAAAAAACCCATATCAAAGCATCATCCTCTTCCATAGAAGGGCTTTCCTGTATGCATCCTCCACTCTTCCCTGGCCCCACATGCATAGTGTTTACTACTTGTGGTGTCTCATTAGTCAAATATATCTCATATAAGAGACGTGCAATCTTTTGTTCATGCCTTTTCCTCTGGTGTATGTAAACTGCGCCTTTTTATTTCTGAATTTTTTAAATAATTCTCTGGAGAACATGTTTAGAAAACTAGTGACTGTGATGAGTCATTGACCCATGAAGTAAGGTATAAGATTTTTGACATTCATGTCTATCATGTAATTGGGTTTTATTTTTCTAGGATGGAAGATTTGACAAATCCAGAAGATATCCGAACAAATATCAAGTGTGACCGAAAGGTGTCTCTCTATGGTTATTTAAGAGGAGCGCATTTGAAAAATAAAAGCCAAATTCACATGCCAGGTATCATTTTGTTGTAAAATACATTCTATTTATAGACCTCTTGGGATAGCATATGAAATGTTCTTAGGAAAATGGAAAAATGGCAAAATCAGATAGAGTACCCTGTAGGTTTTAAGAGTTATCCAGCTCTGCAGTTGTCAGAAAGGTGTTGAATTGCCCTAAACCCCTCTCCCTCTGGTGCTATTATTTAGCTTGAGGGATATGGTGCCGGGTCATATGATGCCCTTGTTTTGATTGAAACCTTTAAACTGTGGGCCATTTCTGCCAACAGTCAATACTTGTTAACTGAAGCCATCTTACTCTGTCCCTGTTCCAGGTGTAGGAGATTTTGCTGTGAGTGATGTCAGTTTCCTCCCAGACCCCTGTGGGCTTCCTGAACAACAAAAGAAGCGCTGTTTAAATGAGAAAGAGAAGTTGGTTTATGCACCTCTGTCTGGAGTTGGTGGTGTGCTATATGACAAAGATGCTGTCTATGTTGACCTTGGTGGTAGCCATGGCTTCCAGGAATCGGTGAGAAGGATATCACAGGGATTAATGTAGTGAGCTTTTTATTCCCTGAGTTTTTTAATATTTATTCATGTATTCAAGAAAGACCACAACACTTACTATAAATATACAGAATACTTAATTGCACTAAGAAAGTAAAAGTCACATCCTCCCTTTGATGCTGCTGCCCAGTTGTTCAGGGCCTCCCATGTCTCCCATTGTGAGCAATGAAAGCAGTCTGGCTGCTCTGCTCCCTGTCTCTATATAAAGTCAATGTGTTCTAGCTCTCTTTGGTCTTTCTCTCTTTTTCTGTTTTTCTCTAAACATACTCATATTTGTGTTATATATATTTATATTGTTATATATTACATGTAAACAACACCATTTTATTTATGCATGTAGTACATAGATGTGGTATTTGAGGTGTGTGTGAGAGAAGTAATACTGTTATGTGGAAACCAAGTTTGCAAAAAAAAGCATTTTTATTTATTTATTTTTAAAGGCAATCAACTTTATTTTACATGCTTACATGGGTAGATATATCATAAGTAACATTTAAATCAAACAGAACACTTTGAAAAAAGCATTTTTATTTATTTTTTCTTTTTTATTGTTCTTTTCCAAATGTGTTGACCAGTATTGCAGACCCCATTAGTCATTTGCTTACATACAACTAAATGTAAGCAAAAGGAATGACTAAAAGAACAACGAAAATCCACCCCTTCAGCAAAGTGAAACCAGAGAGAGCATTTACTTTTGAGTTGCTTTACAAGCATATTTGATTTCTCAGAAATCAAATCATATCATACTATTTTTTTCCTTTTATTAAAAAATCCTTATTTTTTTATTTAATATGATTGTAGCCAATACTGTGTAGTAGCAACAAAGAAATTTTTGTAACCATTCCTTTAACCATTCGATCTTGCTCTGATGATTCTGTGCAGCAAAGTTTCATAGTTACATCCTTTCAGTTTACAACATACAAATATCCTCTATGAGTCAGAAGTAAGGAAATTTTCCTTCTATTCAAAACATGTTTAGAATACTTAGTATGTGCCAAAAGTTATGGTTACAAATACAAATGACCTGTCTTCTATCTGGTGACTTAGGCGAATAACTGCACATTGTCCTCATTTATGAAGAGAATTATAATCTTCATTATGAAGATTTTGGTAAAGCATCTTTACTGTTAAAGAACTTTTTTTGATGAACTAATGATGTTGATGAATGAAAAGTATTATCTGTAAAGTTGAATTACCATATACTACCTCCTCAAGAGCCTAAAGTGAAAATGGAAAATAACTAGATTCATAGACCTTGATATAGCCTTAATATTTGATGAAGCCTATAACTTCAAATGTTGTTAAAGTAAGTGGTATACAGCAAATCAAATGAAGGAAAATCTGAAGCCTTGTGAAAAAAGAAAGTCACTTCTGAACTCTAAAATGTTTAATTCTTTAAACAACCTTTCTAGGTGCATATTATTAATATTTTTTTTTACCTTTTTTAAAATTTTTTTATTATAAATTTTATTTTTATATTCCCCATACAATTGCGACCCCCTTATTTTGATCCCAATCCCTCCCCTCCCCGCCCCCCACCTCTCATAGACTGTCTCTGGTTCATAGTTGTTTGTTGATTTTGATTTTTACTTTCTTATAGTTATTCTTTTTCCTGGTCCCGTGTTTAAGTTTTCTAGATTCCTGCTATGAGTGAGACCATCCGGTATTTTTCTTTTTCTTTCTGGTTTATTTCGCTGAGCATGATCCCTTCCAGCGCCATCCATGTTGCTGCAAATTGCATGTGTTTATCTTCTTTGAATACTGAGTAATATTCCATGGTGTATATGTACCACATCTTCTTGATCCAGTCATCTATTTTTGGGCATTTGGGTTGTTTCCAAAGCTTAGCTATTGTAAACAGTGCTGCTATAAACATAGGGGTGCAGGTGCTCTTTGGAATTGATGTTTCTGTGTCCTTTGGGTAAATCCCTAGGAGTGGAATTGCTGCATCATATGGAAGCTCTATGTTTAGTAGGTCCAGAAATCTCCACACAGCTCTCCATAGTGGTTGGACCAGTTTGCACTCCCACCAACAGTGCAAGAGAGTTCCTTTTTCTCCACAACCTCGCCAACATTTGTTGTTGCTAGTTTTTTTAATATGTGCCATCCTCACTGGTGTAAGATGGTATCTCATGGTAGTTTTGATTTGCATTTCCCTGATGCAAGTGATGTTGAACATTTTTTCATATGCCCTTTGGCCATTTGCATTTCCTCTTCAGAGAAGTTTCTTTTTAGCTCTTCTGCCCATTTTTTGACTGGATTATTTTCTTTGTTTTTGTTGAGTCTCATCAGCTCTTTGTAGATTTTTGTCATGAGTCCTTTATCACTAGTGTTGTGTGCAAAAATGTTCTCCCAGTCGGTGGGGTTTCTCTTTGTTTTGGTTATTGTCTCTTTTGCTGTGCAGAAGCTCTTTAATGATGTAGTCCCAGCTGTTTATCTTTGCCTTCACTATCACTGCTTTGGGTGATGTGTCTGTAAAGATGTCTTTGATGTACATATCATGTAGTGTTGCGCCTATATTTCCTTCTATGTATTTTATGGTTTCAGGTCTTATGTCTAGTTCTTTAATCCATTTTGAGTTTTGTGCATGGTGTTAGGTAGTAGTCAAGCTTCATTCTTTTGCATGTAGCGACCCATTTTTCCCAACACCATTTATTGAACAAACTTTCTTTGCTCCAATGCATATTCTTTGCTCCTTTGTCAAAGATTAGCTGACCGTAAATCTGTGGGTTTATTTCTGGATTTTCTATTCGATTCCATTGGTCTGTGTGTCTGTTCGTGTTCCAATACCATGCAGTTTTGATGATTATGGCTTTGGAGTATAGTTTGAAGTCTGGGAGTGTGATGCCTCCATTCCCTTCTTTTTTTTTTTCAGGAGAGCTTTGGCTATTTGGGGTTTTTGGTGATTCCATATGAATTTCATCAATAATTGTTCTATTTCTTTGAAGAATGACATTGAAATTTTTATTGGAATAGCATTGAATCTGTATATTGCTTTTGGTAGGATGGCCATTTTATTTTATTTTATTTTTTTTTTAACTTGTTCTAAGTTTTGTTTTTTTTTAAAGATTTTATTTATTTATTTATACAAGCACTGGGTACAGTGAGAAGCGTGGGAGGTGAGAGAATTCACCAGAGCCAGAGTGGGGAGCAGAACAGGCAGAAGGCCCGAAGTACACTTCTGAGGGGAGCAGCGGGCGGCAGGAGAGGTCTGCGCGCCATGTGGGACCCTCCCCTGGTGGTCGGGGAGCAGTCGGGAATCGAACCAGTGGTGCAGAGGCTGTGGGCAGCTTCGCAACCCAGCGCTTAACTGCTGCGCCACCGGGGAGGCCCAGGATGGCCATTTTAATAATGTTTATTCTTCCAATCCATGAGCTGGGGATGTCTTTCCGTTTCTTTGTTTCTTCTATTTCTTCTAACAGTGCTTTATAGTTTTCTTTGTATAGGTCCTTTATCTCTTTTGTTAGATTTATTCCCAAGTATTTGATTTTTTTTAGTTTCTATAATAAAAGGGATGGTTTTTTTGATTTCTTCTTCATCAGATTTATTGTTTGTGTATAGGAAGGCTACTGACTTTTGCGCATTGATTTTGTATCCTGTCACTTTACTGAACTGATTGATGAGTTGAATTAGTTTTTCTGTGGAGTTTTTGGGGTTCTCTATGTGTGTTATCATATCATCTGCAAATAGTGATAGTTTGACTTCTTCTTTTCCTATTTGGATTCCTTGTATGTCTTTCTCTTGTCTTACTGCTCTGGCTAGGACTTCCAGTATTATATTGAAAAGCAGTGGTGAGAGTGGACATCCTTGTCTTGTTCCAGATCTTAATGGAAATGCTTTCCACTTTTCACCATTGAGAATGATACTGGCTGTTGGCTTGTCGTATATGGCCTTTATGATGTTGAGGTATGTTCCTTGTATCCCAAGAATTTCAAGGACTTTTATCATGAATGGGTGTTGCACTTTGTCGAAAGCTTTCTTAGCATCTATTGATATTATCATATGGTTTTTATATTTCTTTTTGTTGATGTGTTGGATAACGTTGATTGATTTTCGGATGTTGAACCATCCTTGTGTCCCTGGCATGAATCCTACTTGGTCGTGGTGAATTATCTTATGGATACATTGTTGGATTCTGATAGCTAAAATTTTATTGAGGATTTTTGCATCAGTGTTCATTAGGGAGATTGGCCTGTAGTTTTCCTTTTTTGTGTTGTCCTTGTTCGGTTTTGGTATTAGTGTAACGTTGGCTTCATAGAACGTGTTTGGTATTATCCCTTCCTTCTCAATTTTTTGGAAGAGTTTGTGAAGGATAGGCACTCTGAATGTATGGTAGAATTCATTTGTAAAATCCATCAGGTCCTGGGCTTTTGTTTTTGGGGAGGTTTTTGATTACCATTTAAATTTTGCTGCTTGTAATTGGTCTGTTTAGGTGTTCTATTTCTTCTTTATCTAGCTTTGGGTGATTGTAGAGTTGTAGGAATTTGTCCATCTCCTCTAGATTGTTGAACTTGTTTCCATATAACTGTTCATAGTAGTTACTGATTATTCTTTTGATTTCTGCTGTGTCCGTTGTGATTTCTCCTCTTTCATTGATGATCCTGTTTATTTGTGCTTTCTCCCTTTTTTCCTTTGTGAGCCTGGCTAGAGGTTTGTCTATTTTATTGATTTTTTTCGAAGAACCAGCTCTTGGTTTCATTGATCTTTTGGATTGTTTTTTTAGTTTCGATTTCATTTATTTCTGCTTTGGTTTTTATTATTTCTTTTCTTCTACTGGTTTTGGGTTTTTTTTTTGTTGTTCTTTTTCTAGATCTTTGAGCTTCGAGATTAGGTTGTTTCTTTGAGTTCTTTCTTGTTTCTTGATGTGAGCCTCTATTGCTATATATTTTCCTCTTATTACTGCTAAAATAAAAGCATTTTTAAAAGCACATTTTTAAATCAATTTTTTAAAAAAAAGATTTATTTATTTATTTATTTATACAAGTATTGGGTACAGTCAGAAGCGTGGGAGGGTGAGAGAATTCACCAGAGTCAGAGTGGGGAGCAGAACAGACAGACTGATGAAACACACTGCTGAGGGGAACAGTGGGCGCGACAGGAGAGGTCTGTCGCACCATGTGGGACCCTCGCCGGTGGCAGGGCATTGAACCGACACTGCAGAGGCTCCGGGCAGCTTTGCAGGCCAGCACTCAACCGCTGCGCCACCGGGGAGGCCCTAAGTCACATTTTAAAATATGTGGTTCCACATTTTTCTGTTAGTACTTGTAGAGCTATTCTCCTTTTGAAGCTCCTGTAGCATGTCACTGGATAAACCTCATTTACTCACTAACCCTTGGACACCATGGGACTCTGTTTTAAACAGTGCTGCAGTGAGCACCCTGTGTATGTGGCTTCTCACTGGGGTTGATCTTTCTATGCAATAAATTTCTTGAAGTGAAGGTTTTAGATTAAAAGTTACTTTTTGAAAGTTGATTATATATATTTTTCTTTATTCTGGGATGATATTTTATTGGCCTAAAGTGGAATAAATTGGTATCTATGGTTTTTCAAGCTAAGTGTTTGGGTTATCAGGTTGTGTATGAGCCTTGGAAAAGCTTAATGAAGACAAACCAATTTTAGACTTTGTCATAAGAAGATATACATTTTTTTGGAGGGGCAATAAGAGGTTCTCAGGAAGTGTCTTTAAAATGATTTTGAGAAACTGATCAAAATCAGTATATCTGTCTTTAGAAACTTTGTGCATTCCTCACTTTCCTTTTCTTGTGGCCTTGACAGGATGAGACAAGGCCTAACCATGAACTGGTCCAGAGTCTCATTTCCACTCATTCCACTATTGATGCCAAGATGGCTTCAAGTAGAGTGACACTTTTTTCTGATTCTCAACCACTGGAGTCAGAGGATATAGATAATCAAGGGTAAGTTTGCTATTTTTCTATTTTTAATAAAAAAATTTATTACAGATTACTTCACCCAAAATTCTGCCATCATGATACATTTCAGTGGAATTCATTCCAGGTTCTTTTGTTTTGTTTTGCTTTGTATGTGTATATATTTCTGAGGGCTCCTCATTTATATAATATTACATGGAAGAATTTTTTTTTTTGAAGACTTATTTATTCATGCATACAAGAGCTGGGGTACAGGCCAGAGGTGTCGGGGGTGAGAGGATTCACCAGAGACAGAGTGGGGAACAGAACAGGCAGATTGACCAAAGTACACTGCTGAGGGGAGCAGTGGGCAAGACAGGAGAGGTCTGCAGGCCGGGATCAAACCTGTGCTGCAGAGGCTGCAGATAGCTTCACATCACGGCGCTCAACCTGCTGTGCCACCGGGGAGGCCCCAAATTATTTCTTTCTACGTTATATCACTAAAAACCATTCCTTGTCATTATTTTCTGTTTCTTTGCATACTTATTGACTTATTATTCTTAGATTAGCCTACTACTGTACAATTTGAATTATTTTGCATTTCCTTGGTAATCTAGGCTGTGGATGCCAAAAGAGGAAAAGCAGATGGATTTGAAAACTGGACGAGTACGTCGTAAAGCTGTTTTTGGAGATGAAGATGACTCTGGAGACAGTGATAATGAAGATGATGAAGAAATGTCTGAAGGTGACAGGTTGGAAAATAACTCCAGTGATGATGAAACAGAAGAGGAGGAAGATGCTGAAATGCCTGATAAAGGCTATACGACTGGTAAAGGTTTCAAACGGCAGAGGCTTGAAGAGCAGGAAGAAGATGTTGAGGTGGATTTGCCAGCGTTTGCAGACAGTGATGATGACCTTGAGAGGAGTTCAGAGGAAGAAGGAGAAGCAGAGGAAGCCACTGAAAGCAGTGAAGGAGAAGATTCTACTGCAGAAGGAGAGACAGATATTTCAGAATATAAGGTTGTTGGAGAAAGTAGTAAACCAAGACTATTACAAATTAGTGGTTTGAGTGATAGTTTGAATCTGGAGAAGTCTTCAACATTGAAAAAAGCAGCCCTCACCACTTCAGATTCAGGTCATTGCACAGCTGAAGAGGCATTTGCTTCTGAAGATGAAGAAGAAAGCTCCTCTCTCAGTAGAGATGAAGAGGATTCAGAAAATGAAGAAGTTATTAGAAAAAAGTTTCCAAAGCCTTCTCAAGTGATCAGTGATCAGAAACTGGCCTCAGATAACTTAATTGATGATGAAGAGGATTTACTCAAAGAGGAAGAAGATTACAAGGAAGAAAATAACTATTCCACAGAAACTTCAGGTATGCTCGTATTTAATATAATTGCCTTTATAAACTTGGCACTGAAAAGATTACAAATCAAATATCTCAAATATAGTCATTTGCTATAACAGTTTGCTGTTTTGGAGATTTTGTTAACTGTTCAGATACTGCATCTTACAAAAAAGATTGCAGGATGAATGAGCAGTTAATTTTAAGCAGAGAGGACTTAACTGATGTTGATCTTGGTCCTTTCAGGAGCCCTCAAGTGGAAGGAGGACCTTTCTAGGAAGGCAGCTGAAGCCTTTTTGAGGCAGCAACAAGCAACTCCAAACCTTCGAAAGCTTATTTATGGGACAGGTAAAAGAGCTCTGTTTTATATCTAGAAATATTTTAGTATCTTAGACTGCTTTCTGCAAAAGAGATTGGAAAAATTGGTTGGAAGATTTATATTATATATGGTACTGTTGATATCCATAAGATATTCCTGTCTGTTATGGTTTATATTGGCAGATTTTAAAAATCAGTGCTCTCAAGCACCAGAAATCAATCAAAATAGATTTGTGGGTTTCCATAAAACTTTTGAATAGAAAACTGCCCATTATGTAATTTTATACCCCCTATACAAAATCCTTCATGAAATTTTGGTAGAATTTGGTGCCAAAAAAGTATTTCTTCCTGTAAAGATGTTTTTTTCTTTCTAAATATGAACTCTATAACTCTTTTGCTTTTCCTTTCACCCTTGTTCTTCGATTTTATATTTTATTAGACTTGTCTGTATGTTCTTTTCAGAAAGAGCACGAGTTAATAGTGTAAAAAATATCAATATAAGTGGTAGACTTTATATCATGCTCTTCAGGAACCACATGATTAAAACAAGGCTCAGAGGAGTACACATGGGCTAATAATATTGAATCTAGGAATACGTACTGATTCCCATTCAGGCTTTGCCTCAGTACACGTTGTTATTGACAGACTCAATATTCTTCAATAGAAACTCTGATAATTGGATATTCTGCCTCTAAATTCTTCCCTTCCCTAACCCCCAATATTCTGCCTATTCAATGGAGTCTTTGCTGTTACCCTGTGGGAGGACAGAAGTTCTCCAGACATGTTGAGCCTTTCTCAGCCTGTGACTGATATGCTCAGAGGTACCATTTGACCTGTCATTAATAGGGACACTTAGTCCCAAGTTCTCCAGGATGTACATTTGTTCTCACTTTTCCAACATTGTGATTTCTTTAGTGACAGAGGATAATGAAGAAGATGATGATACCAGGGAAGAGCTTGGAGGATTGTTTCGTGTCAGCCACCCTTCCAGAGAGTGTAAGCACAAGGCTGACTCTTTGGACTGCTCCAGATTTCACGTGGAAGCACCCCATGATTGGGATTTAGAAGAGGTAAGGCTGAATATTAGTAGTATGCTTGACATATGAGAGTATTCAGGAATTGCTTTAAAAGAAAATAGTGTGATCTCAATATTTACTATCTGTTATTAGCTTCTTATTTTTATAAGATGTTGGAATGGGTATTTGCATCCTAAACAGTAACATGTTGAGTTTAGTCAGACTGTGCTTGTGTTATGGAGAAAAGGAAGGTGTTTAACATTTATTGTGGATAGTAGAGTTCATCTTAATTTTGAAGCATTGCTTGTAAATTTTCATGCATTTAAAATATTTTGTGTCTTATACCTAGTGTCCCTGAGGTATTGTTTATAATTTTCAAACAGAAATCCATGACACAGTGAATTTTCATGTCCTATTTATCATTCTCTAGTCACATTGAAGTTCACTTTTCAAATTTGCCATGCTTATCAATTCTATCTTAGAATTCTTGTCCCTCTGTTTTTTCTCCTGGGTTGTTGTGCTGATCTTTCCAAGGCTGGCTTCTTTTGATCATTCAGATTAGCATAAATGTTACTCCTGAGAGAGGCCTAATAATTATCACATTACTTATTTCAATTTGGTAGGTAGCAATTATGGACTTCATGAGATTTTATGTAACCATTGTTTATGGTAAATTTTAATGCAGATTATAGAAAACCACACAAAAGTAAATTTTAATGCAGTGAGTTACTAGGTAAGTACCCTTGAAACTACCACATGCCCATCTCAGCTTAGTTCTCTTTGGTCCTGCAGAAGGAATCATGGCACTTATCATAATCATTTTTTTCTTTTCTTCATGATTTCATCTTCCAAGTTTCCATCAGTAAATGCCATAGTTTGATTTTACCAGGATTTTGGTTTTTGCTCTGCCTTTTAAATATATAGTCTATAATCTTCCCCTCTACTCATTTCTTTTTTCCGCTTACATTTTATGTGCTTTTGGGGCATTGGCAGTGAATGACTCATGCTGTCTTATGTTAGGTTCACCAGGAAACAGACTCTGAATTGGACAGTTGTGTGCAAGGTTTTATTCTATGATTTGAGATATATATCCGGCATCTGCTTTGTGTATATATGGGTGATCTTGAACTGGGAACTAGTACTCTTTGCACTGTTGTGAACATTTTGCCAGAAAATTATCGTTGGTCAAGGGAATTAAGTTTTCAAATAGCCATAAGAAGTCTCTATTAACATATAGTAAACCTAACTTTCTAAAAATGCTACCTGTTGTTTTCGGAACACTAATAAACTTTTGAAAATTGGTTGAATTAGTAAATAATTATTTACTTAGAGGTCACTGGATTAATGATACCTTACCTATACACTGCTTAACATTTTATAACATGTATGCTGCTTTTTCCAAAACAACTTTTTATTAGCCAGCAAAACATAATCAGGACACAATTTTATGTTTGTAAATTAGTTCACAAAAGGATGTAAAATGTTTGCAATTCACTATTGTGTGTTAATATTGCTAAAGCCATTCACTGAATTTTACACCAGTATGAACATAAGCTTATTCCATGATGAGAAGTAGCCTGAATCTAATAACTATGAGCTGTATTAGTGGATCTCTTCCTTTTTTAACCATTTAACTTTACTTCTTATACTTGGTTTCCTTACCGAGTGGAATTTACAAACTAAATTTTTAAAAAATTGTGAAAAAATGATTGCAGCTCTGCAAACCAAGTAGTTGGGTTTGCAGAAAATTCTGAGAGAAGTAGTGACATAAGATACTAAAAAAAGTATTAACTAGTACACATGTAAAATTCTTCCATTTTATTCATGATTCTTTTTTTTTACTTCAATTTTTTTAAAAGATTTATTTATTTATTTGTACAAGCACTGGGTACAGTCAGAAGCGTGGGAGGGTGAGAGAATTCACCAGAGCCAGAGTTGGGAGCAGAACAGGCAGAAGGACCGAAGTACACTGCTGAGGGGAGCGGTGGGCGCAGCAGGAGAGGTCTGCTGCGCCATGTGGAACCCTTGCTGGTGGCTGGGGATCAAACTGGCGCTGCAGAGGCTGCGGGCAGCTTTGCAGCCCAGCGCTCAACTGCTGTGCCACTGGAGAGGCCCTTATTCATTATTCTGATATTAATACACTATTAAGTGATTTTGCAAAAGCTGATCTGCTGGTTACTACAAATAAACCTCGAGACCCAACTTTTCATAATATTCTCTTCCAGATGTGGTTTATATAAGGTTAGTCAAACTTAATCCATGTTTGTATATTTTTCCCAAAGATCTACCCTGTGCCAGAGATAACACAAATGTGGTACAAAAACACTTGAAATTGTTTCCAAGTACTTTCCCGCCGTATTTTTATTTTTCCTGAAATGTTTCTATTTCAAACATACACACAACCTGAATTCATCTTTTCAGATGCCATGTTGGTTATTTTATGTAAAAGAATGTCTTCACAAATCTTCCCAATTCAGTGATTCAGTTTCATCGAAAAATTGACTTACTTTTTTATAGCCTGTTTATAGTCTGTTTTCGTAGAAAAACATACTTCATTTTTATAGCCTCTGTTTTCAGTTGATTAAAGGACACCAATAACACTATCTCTATTACTAAATGTAACAAGTAGCACATCCGAACTGAGAAAATGTCTTATTTTGGTGAAGTTTCAGCAATTAAAATTCTGGTTATTTTCACATAATTAACTGTTGAAATTACTTTTACAAATGTGGAACCAGTTTTTTCCTTATGGGAAGAGAAATGGGAAGGAAGAAGCTAATGGGGAAGAGGCACGAGATGGTAGACAGGGTAAATAAAGCTGTGCGTTCGGTGTATGATTGTGGTCACTTTCCACAACACAGTGGTGGGTTTTCTTATATCTCTTACTATGACTGTAGTAAAAGACAGTACTAAACCTATAAACCATAAAATCAAAACACATTTGATAAAACATTCATTTTCAAGTTTCAGACAATATTTGCATTTCTTTCTTTTTTTTAAAAAAAGATTTTATTTATTTATACAAGAACCGGGGTACAGGCCAGATGTGCGGGAGGGTGAGAGGATTCACCAGAGACAGAGCTGGGAACAGAACAGGCAGACTGACAAAATACACTGCTGGGGGGAGCAGTGGGGCACGACAGGAGAGGTCTGCCATGCCATGGGGGACCCTCGCCGGCCGGGATTAAACCAGCGCTGCAGAGGCTGTAGACAGCTTCACAGTGTGGCGCTCAACTGCCTGCGCCACCAGGGAAGGCCCTATATTTGCATTTCTAAGTACAAAATCTCTACGATATATTTGCATGTTTTCATAGACTAACATACACATTCGTGAAGTCTTCTGTTATGTTCTTCATTTTTTTAAAGATATTTATTTTGCATAAGAGAACTGGTGTGCAGGCCAAAGGTATGGAGGGTGAGTGAGAAGATTGACCAGAGACAGAGTGGGGAGCAGAACAGGTGGGTCTACTGAAATTCACTGCTGAGGGGAGCAGTGGGCAAGACAGGAGAGGTCTGCTGCATGACATATGTGGTTAGCTCCCTAGCTGGGCATAGAACTCAGGCCCTCATGGTGGTATTGCTGAGACTTAAGCCCTAGGCCATCACAGAGGCCCCTGTTAGTTCTTAATTTTGCTTGGATTTGACATCTCCATATATAGTAAGTGAAGCTACAAACAAGTACTGTAACTTGCAGTCTCTTTTACTTTTTGAGAAAAAAAATCAGCAATTTTATAAAACCAAAGGGATAGAAATCCTTTAATTTTTTTTGCTTTTTGTGTCAGTTGTTTGAAAAACACTAGAAGCTGGCATGAAGTTTTCTATATATTGTCCAAGAACTTGATTTTCTGATTTTAGCTTTGGATTTTCTTCCTAAACTGCATCTGTTCTTGCAGAGAGGTCATCCATATCAGCATTCATCATATTAGATAACAAACTTTTGGAACTTGGATACAAAAATCTTAGCGAATGGTCTGCCATTTGAGGTACTGGGAAAATATGTATGCTTTTATCTCTGGTTACACTATCTGCATCAAAGGTAAAGTTATCTAAGAGGCTCACTTGGAATCCACAAAAGCATTTTGAAAAGTAGTTAAAGACAAGTTGTCACCTCTATTTTTTTCCTTATTTTTTCAAGCTGAGGTATAATTGACATACTAGTTTCAGGTGTACAACATGAACCAATATTTATACATGTTGCAAAATGATAATCACCTTTTAAGTCTAGTTAATGTCCCTTACCTTATATAATTCCAGAAATATTTTTCCTGTGATAACAACCTTTAAGATCTACTCTCACCGGGCCTCCCTGGTGGCGCAGCGGTTGAGCGCCGGGTTGCAAAGCTGCCCGCAGCTTCTGCAGCACCGGTTCGATCCCCGGCTGCTCCCCGGCCACTGGGGGAGGGTCCCACATGGTGTGCAGACCTCTCCTGCCGCCCGCTGGTTCCCTCAGCAGTGCACTTTGGTCCTTCTGCCTGCTCTGCTCCCAGCTCTGGCTCTGGTGAATTCTCTCATCCTCCCGCGTGTCTGACTGTACCCAGTGCTTGTATGTATGTATGTATGTATGTATAAATAAGTAAATAAATAAATAAATAAAGATGGAATTTCAAAATACTTAAAAAAAAATCTACGCCAACTTGCAAATGTGCAATTCAATGTTAATAACTGTAGCCATTATGCTACTCATTATATCCTATTGCCATGACTTATTTAATTTTATAACAGGAAGTTTGTGCTTTTTAACTCCCTTCACCCGTATCTTCTCCCCTTCCCCCTGCCTCTGGCAGCCTCCAATCTATTCTCTCTATATAAGCTAGGTTTTGGAGTAGGGGCTGGAGTTTTGCTTTTATATTCCACATATAAGTGAAAACGTGGTATTTGTTTTTCTCTGATCTGTTTCACCTATTTCACTTAATGTAATGTCCTTATGTTGATGCAGAGGGCAAGATTTTATTCTTTCATATGCTGAGTAATATTTCATTGTGGGTCTAGTTGTGTAGTTGTGTGAATTGTGTGTATTTGTACACTTTATTTACATATACAATATACATATACATGCAATGTACATACAATATATACTGCACACACAATTTCTTTATTCATTCATCCACCTATGAACACTTAGGTTGGCTCCCTGTGTTGTCTCTTGATAATGCTGCAGCGAACATAGGTGTACATCTTTTGACTTTGTAGTGGTTTTTCTTTTTCTTTCTATTTTTTAAAATCTCTTTTTTTTTTTCCTGTGGGACCCTCGCTGGCGGAACGAACCGGCACTGCAGAGGCTGTGGGCAGCCTCGCAGCCCAGCGCTTAACCGCTGTGCTACCAGAGGAGTCCCTAAAATCTCTTTGAATAAATATCTAGAAATGGAATTGCTGAATCATATGGTAGTTCTATTTTTAGTTTTTGAGGTACCGTCATCCTGTTTTCCATTATGCCTATACCACTTGACTTCTCATCAACAGCGCAGAGGGTTCCTTTTCCTTCACATCCTCACTAACTTGTTGTTTCTTATCTCTTGGAAAGTAGATACATACATACATACAAGCACAGGTGTGAGGCGATGGCTTATTGTGGTTCGGATTTGCATTTCCCTCATGGTTAAAGGATAATGAGCATCTTTTCATGTCCCTGTTGAGTCGTCTGTGTATCTACTATTTCTTAGTAGTTGTTTTGTTGATTGATTGGAGTATGTCAACTAAGTGCTGCCTTTTCTCTGTAAGGTTATGAACACTATCAGAGATTGCTTTGTGACTGGGAAGTGGGAAGATGATAAAGATGCAGCCAAGATCTTAGCAGAAGATGGTAAGTAAAGGTAAAAGTAAAAATAACACTTTTCAGAGAAGACTTCCTTCTCTAGACTTTTCACTATCTCTTTAGTAGTCAATTTGCAAGTAATAGTCAATTGTAAAATGCTTGGGGGAACTGTAACAGGAGTTATGATTCCTTCTTTCTTGGTCATCTTATTTTCTGCCGCTGGTTAATTAATTATTATTATTATTTTTTTTTCTTTTTTCTTCTTTTTTTCTTATTTTTTTTTAAATAATAAATTTTATTGTTATATTCCCCATACAATTGCAGCCCCCCCATTCTGACCCCAATCCCTCCCCTCCTGCCCCTGCCCCCCTAAAAGTGTCTCTGGTTCATAGTTTTTTGTTGATTTTGATTTTCACTTTCTTATAGTTATTCATTTTCCTGGTCCCTTATTTAAGTTTTCTAGATTCCTGCTATGAGTGAGACCATCCGGTATTTTTCTTTTTCTTTTTGGCTAATTTCGCTGAGCATGATCCCTTCCAGCGCCATATGGATGATGCATGGTTAATTAATTATTAAATGTGAACCCTGAAGAAAAGTAGGGCATTTTCCATAAATTTTGTCATGCGCTTATTAAAAATAGATTTTGTGTGTGTGTGTGAAAAATGTACTAAAATTACATTTTTCTTGTGATGATATAGTGTGCATTAAAGAGAATTAGAGTTAAAAAAAAATACCGTAACTACCACCAACTGTAAAAATAATTTTTTTCAACCCTGAGGTATTTCTTTCCGGTTATTTAAATATAGTGCGTGAGTGCCAGGCCCCTTCTGGCCTGCAGTCCAAGCCCAGAGGGGGAGCGGGAACCCACCACCGGGGCAGACCGGGTGTGCAGGGAGTGCGTCCCACATCACCATTTTAGAACAGGGACATTTCTTCAGTAAAGACTGCTTGAAACCAGCAGAAGGCTCCCTGAGGAGCCAGAGGGGAGCAGAGAAGTTCACCCAAGATGCCGCCAGTCCCAGCAACACAGTGTCCCAATGCATACGGCAAATTAGAAAACAGACAGTAGGGAGTAGAAGAACCACACGCAACCTAGCAACTCCTCAGGAAAAAAGCACACCACAAAAAGAAAACCACCCCCTAGATTGCAACAACAGTAACTTGGAAGAACTTCTGAGCCTTCCAGAAATAGAATTTACAATTGCCATGATTAAAAAACTGACAGAAGTCATAAAGGAAAACAATGATAAGGGAAAAATAATCAACGACCAGAAGAATGAAATTGAGTCCCTAAAGAGGGAAGTAAAACAAATGCAGGAGATCAAAGAATTAATGGAGGCACTAAAGAACTCTGGGAAAAGCAGTGAAAGCAGAATAGATGAAATGGAAGAACGAATAAGTACTCTTGAAGACACAGAAATAAAAAGAACCAAAACAGAAAAGGAAAGAGAAGTAAGAAGGAAAAAGACCGAAGAAAGACTTCGGGAACTATCTGACTCCATGAGGAAAGGAAATGTAAGAGTTATAGCAATACCAGAAGGAGAGGAGAGAGATGTAGGAACAGAGAAAATATTCAAGGAGATAATTGAAGAGAACTTCCCAAACGTGAAGAAGGAGCTGAAAATTGATATACAAGAAGCAAGAGGAACACCAAACTTTCACGATGAAAGGAAAAATACAGCAAGACACATAATAGTAAAGCTCCCAAGAATCCAGGACAAGGAAAAAATAATGAAGCTGACAAGAGGGAAGAAACAGATAACATTCAAAGGAAAACCAATTAGGCTGACATCAGACTTCTCCGAAGAAACACTCCGGGCAAGGAGAGAGTGGAGGGACATAGTCAACAGACTCCAAGAAAACAGATGCCAACCAAGAATACTCTAACCCGCAAAGCTCTCCTTCCTCTATGAAGAAAGAATAAGGACCTTACAGACAAACAGAAACTCTGGAATTTCATTACGACTAAACCCCCACTCCAAAAAATACTACAAGGAGTCCTAAAGCCAGAACCTCAGAGGGACAAATAACAACGAAAGAAGGCCAAAAAAAAAAAAGTTATTAAAAGAATAAATAAATAAAACCAGAGAAAAGACAAACACAATGGCAAATACAGATGCTAACATATCAGTATTAACTCTAAATGTAAATGGACTAAACTCTTCAATAAAAAGACACAGAGTCGCAGGCTGGATTAAGAAACAAAACCCAACCTTTTGCTGTCTCCAGGAAACACATTTAGCTACAAAAGATAAAAATAGACTCAAAGTTAAAGGATGGAAAACAATCCTACAAGCAAATGGACCAAAAAAAGAAAGCAGGAACAGCTATACTTATATCAGATAAAACAGATTTCAAACTCAAAAAGATAAAAAGAGACCCCAACGGTCACTACATTATGATCAAGGGGACAATACTTCAAGAAGAAATAATGCTCATTAACATATATTCACCAAACGAAGGAGCACCAAAATATATCAGACAACTATTGTCATCTCTGAAAACAGACATCAGAGAAAACACATACATAGTGGGAGACTTAAACACACCACTATCAACAATGGATAGATCAACGAGACAAAAAATAAGTAAAGACACTAAAGCTCTAAATAAGGACCTAGAGCACTTGGGCTTGGCAGACATCTATAGAACACTAAACGCAAAAAAAAAAGGAGTACACATTTTTCTCAAGTGCACACTGATCATTCTCCAGGATCGATCACATACTGGGACACAAGACAAACATCATCAGATACACCAAGATTGAAATCATACCAATCATCTTCTCTGACCATGAAGGCATCAAACTAGAAATAAACCATAAAAAGAGGCCAGGAACTCTCCTACCTCATGAATATTGAAAACCACACTACTGGAAGACCACTGGACTAATGAGGAGATCAAAGAAGAAATTAAAAAATTCTTTGAATTGAATGACAATGAGAACACCAATTTCCTAAATGTATGGGATGCAGCAAAAGCAGTAATAAGAGGAAAATATATAGCAATAGAGGCTCACATCAAGAAACAAGAAAGAACTCAAAGAAACAACCTAATCTCGAAGCTCAAAGATCTAGAAAAAGAACAACAAAAAAAAAACCCAAAACCAGTAGAAGAAAAGAAATAATAAAAACCAAAGCAGAAATAAATGAAATCGAAACTAAAAAAACAATCCAAAAGATCAATGAAACCAAGAGCTGGTTCTTCGAAAAAAATCAATAAAATAGACAAACCTCTAGCCAGGCTCACAAAGGAAAAAAGGGAGAAAGCACAAATAAACAGGATCATCAATGAAAGAGGAGAAATCACAACGGACACAGCAGAAATCAAAAGAATAATCAGTAACTACTATGAACAGTTATATGGAAACAAGTTCAACAATCTAGAGGAGATGGACAAATTCCTACAACTCTACAATCACCCAAAGCTAGATAAAGAAGAAATAGAACACCTAAACAGACCAATTACAAGCAGCAAAATTTAAATGGTAATCAAAAACCTCCCCAAAAACAAAAGCCCAGGACCTGATGGATTTTACAAATGAATTCTACCATACATTCAGAGTGCCTATCCTTCACAAACTCTTCCAAAAAATTGAGAAGGAAGGGATAATACCAAACACGTTCTATGAAGCCAACGTTACACTAATACCAAAACCGAACAAGGACAACACAAAAAAGGAAAACTACAGGCCAATCTCCCTAATGAACACTGATGCAAAAATCCTCAATAAAATTTTAGCTATCAGAATCCAACAATGTATCCATAAGATAATTCACCACGACCAAGTAGGATTCATGCCAGGGACACAAGGATGGTTCAACATCCGAAAATCAATCAACGTTATCCAACACATCAACAAAAAGAAATATAAAAACCATATGATAATATCAATAGATGCTAAGAAAGCTTTCGACAAAGTGCAACACCCATTCATGATAAAAGTCCTTGAAATTCTTGGGATACAAGGAACATACCTCAACATCATAAAGGCCATATACGACAAGCCAACAGCCAGTATCATTCTCAATGGTGAAAAGTGGAAAGCATTTCCATTAAGATCTGGAACAAGACAAGGATGTCCACTCTCACCACTGCTTTTCAATATAATACTGGAAGTCCTAGCCAGAGCAGTAAGACAAGAGAAAGACATACAAGGAATCCAAATAGGAAAAGAAGAAGTCAAACTATCACTATTTGCAGATGATATGATAACACACATAGAGAACCCCAAAAACTCCACAGAAAAACTAATTCAACTCATCAATCAGTTCAGTAAAGTGACAGGATACAAAATCAATGCGCAAAAGTCAGTAGCCTTCCTATACACAAACAATAAATCTGATGAAGAAGAAATCAAAAAAACCATCCCTTTTATTATAGAAACTAAAAAAAATCAAATACTTGGGAATAAATCTAACAAAAGAGATAAAGGACCTATACAAAGAAAACTATAAAGCACTGTTAGAAGAAATAGAAGAAACAAAGAAACGGAAAGACATCCCCAGCTCATGGATTGGAAGAATAAACATTATTAAAATGGCCATCCTGGGCCTCCCCGGTGGCGCAGCAGTTAAGCGCTGGGTTGCGAAGCTGCCCACAGCCTCTGCACCACTGGTTCGATTCCCGACTGCTCCCCGACCACCAGGGGAGGGTCCCACATGGCGCGCAGACCTCTCCTGCCGCCCGCTGCTCCCCTCAGAAGTGTACTTCGGGCCTTCTGCCTGTTCTGCTCCCCACTCTGGCTCTGGTGAATTCTCTCACCTCCCACGCTTCTCACTGTACCCAGTGCTTGTATAAATAAATAAATAAAATCTTTAAAAAAAAACAAAACTTAGAACAAGTTAAAAAAAAAATAAAATAAAATAAAATGGCCATCCTACCAAAAGCAATATACAGATTCAATGCTATTCCAATAAAAATTTCAATGTCATTCTTCAAAGAAATAGAACAATTATTGATGAAATTCATATGGAATCACCAAAAACCCCAAATAGCCAAAGCTCTCCTGAAAAAAAAAAAGAAGGGAATGGAGGCATCACACGCTC